TTTTTTTTACGAACTTTCAGTGAGAGAAATCTCAGAGGCATTACTCGAAACATTCTTTTCGGATTTTTTCTTCAAATCATCAAGGTAATGGTGATACATATATGACAAGAAACCCCACATAGCCAACACCATTGATATCACCTTCACACCATTCATTTTCTCATGAAGAAATAACACAGAGAAAACAGGAGCCATAGGCACACCAAGGATACTAATCACATTGGAAAACAATGAAGAAACCTTGAAAATCAGCCCAATTGAACCAACTGTAAAAGCTTGCCAAGAAACAGCAGTTCCAATCAAATTCAACACATATGATTTTTTCCCAAGTTCAAACTCATTCATCTCTTTGTTCAAAAATTTCCACTCTCCACTTGCAAATAACACCACCAAGTTTGCCATTGTCGCGACTAAGGACTCATAAATTGTCATCTCTATGATCAATCGAAAACTTTCCCTCTTAAAACACTCTCTGAAAAGCTAGCTGTGTGATAGAAAGCATCAATCCATAACCAGCAGATGCAGCTAAGGTACATAAAAAACCAGTTATATACTTTTTCTTAGAGTATTTCTTATTGGAATTTCCCGACTTGTCGTCGTTTTGGAGGAGAAGAAGTGAAGAAGAAATTGTGAGAAGTACTAAAGAGTTCATTATATAAGGTGTGAATTTTTGTTTGTTTAAGAAGAATGAAAATATTGCATTGAATCCTAATTGACTTGTACATATAAGTGTATAAGTGGTAATAGGATAATTGCCCTATAGATTGCCATTGCAATATCGGAAACCGTAGGAAAGAAAGCCCCGGCCTGGTATTTTATTTTGACCGGCAGATAATAGGGGCGTAGCACCGAATATGTCGGAGTAGTCCCACCAATAGATGGACAAGCCAGTAGTACCAATCAAGGAAGCCTTGAACTCTAGAGCTTTCTTTCCTGATGGGTACTAAGAAAAGGAGACGAATATAGTTAAACAGCTGCAGCAGAGAGAACGAAAAGCCAAAGGTCAAGGTGCATAGCGGTCTTTTCAAGAATAGGGGAGTACAGAATAAGGGGTTTGCAAGACAAAAGAGAATTCGCCGTAAAGCATACAATTTCCTGCTAAAAATAAACCAAGGGAAGTATAAAGAGGAATAAGAACAAAAATAGAAGGTTTCTTTATATTAACATCTATATTTTTTTCACTCTTATTTGATGATGGTATTAAGAGGAAAGGGATGAGAATTGGGAAGCCAATATTTTGTATTAATGAAGCTAACCATATGCTATTTCCTCCTTTATTAAAATATAGTTTTCCTAAGAGTGTACCAATTGCTTGGCCAGATAGAACAAAGGTTGAATAAATAGAAATTTGGATCCACCATTTATATTGTACAAAGCTGGGAACTGATTTTGACTTGTTTTCATTATCAGAGTTCTCTTTCTGCTCCTCACCTGCAGTAGGCATCTAATTAAAAACATAAGAACTGCAGAAAATTTCATTTACAGACTTCTCGATAACAGAATCCGTATATAACAGTCACTCACTATAAAAGCCAAGTTTTCTCGGAACTGATCTTTTATGTTATATCATAATTATAATATTATGTCCTCTATAATAGCACTTCAGTATAACATCCAAAAAATATCGGAGCAAACGCAGCTGTTATATAGATGTTTAACTGTATCATCTGTTGATAATTGAACTAGCACTACTAAAAAAGGGGGAAAATTGACCGATGTTGGTCGGTAATTGGCAAAATCAACTGAAAACTGACTTATTCGTGGCGGTCGGTAATTGTAAAGTCGGTAGAGCTAACCGACCGATTTCGGTCGGTCAATTAAATCCAAAAAAACAAAATGCTGAAAAAAGGGAATCAAACCGGGGTCTGTACTGCGGCAGGATACTATTCTACCACTAGACCATCGGTGCATTTTGTTTTAAGACTGTCTTTTATTTCATTTATACTCTTTAATTGTATTTTCGCACGAAAATAATCGACCGATGTTGGTGGGTTTTATTAAAAAATAAAATTACCGACCGAATTCGGTCGTTTTTTAAAATGACTGGCCTGATTAACCGACCGATTCGGGTCTTTTTTTTTAAAATATTAATTTTAATTTATTTTAGATGAAAAATCGACCAAAGTTGGTTGGTTTCTTGAAAATAAATTTCGCGGGACTCAAAAATCGTTTTCTGCATTTTTGCGCCAAAGAAAACAGACCAAAGTTGGTCGGTTTCGTTAAAAGAAATTAAAAAGGAAAATATTTTGAAAAACCGACTGACTTTGGTCGGTTTTTTGGCCGATTTTTTGACCGACCAAAATCGGTCGGTCGACCGCGGTCGGTTTTTGCCGAATTTCTAATAGCGTAGTAAAATGAGATAGAAAGGATCGACATATATATGGTCACTTTTTGAAGTTTCAGATATTTCAATATGAAGAAATGAGTTGTTTGAGCTATAAAATAGAATGGAGCAACCTATGTTTTGAATATTGTACTTATAATATGAACATGATAGTAAAAACTTCACTTGTGAGAGTGTGCTCATATTGTTGGTCTCGAAAAAAGGAGGAAGGTTTTGTGATAGGTTGATAGGCAACGTAAAGCTAGTCAAATTATGATGAATATATCATAATAATACATAGATTTATATGTCAGTAAAAGATATAGAGAACTTTTAGTATTTTTTTATTATTTTTGTTGTATATAATATTGGACTAAGATGAGTTTAAAGGGACCGATATCGACAGCGACTATCCATATTGCTAACTTTAACACTGTCCTGGAAAATGTTTTTGAACTATGCTGCCCTGAAGTTTCAAAACCATAAGTAATTGAGTTTAAGTCTATGGTCCGATAGTATACAAAATATTTGCACAATCAGATTACTTATTCGATAAATACGGGTAAAATAAATGTTAATTGGTAATATAGTAAATGGTAATTAATTACCTGCTATCACAAATTAAAATTTACTACTAGTGTAAAACAAAATAGTTACATCCAAAAAAGAGAAAACAATAAGAGAAAAACATATAAATAATATTCTTGACAGATGATTCTAAATAAATAAGAGAAAATAAGACCAAAAAATTAATAAAAATATCACTTTCTTTGTTTATTTCATGGTGGTATTTGACTGGGCATGTATTAGTGTAAGAAAAAGAAGACTGCACATACCAAAAAGTATCCTTACAACTTTCGATCTAAAATATGTCATGATATTTTTTACCGCGATATATAATAAGTGCATGTTACTAAAATTAAAATAGAATATCTGATGTTAAAGAACTTTTAAATAATAAAAAAATTATCATTCGTTTTGGAACAGACAGAAACAAAAGAATAACAAACAATAAAGGGCAGCCTAATGCACGAAGTATTCCGCATTCACGCAGGGTCCAGGAAAGACAGCCTACCCTAACGTTTGGCCTATTTCACGGCTCGAATCATGACCTATAGGTCACAAAGAAATAACTTACCGTTGCTCCAAAGCTTCCTTTCAAAAACAAAATAATAACATATAAAAGGAAACATTAAGCTTACCTGGAACATGGGATTGCAGCCCTGGAGCATCAACCGTTTCATAGAAGAATATGAGAATGAAAAGAAAATAAGAAAAGAAAAAAAAAGCTCGTCGAAAGACGAGATATCAAATCAACCAGATGAGTCTTATGCGGCGCAATCTGAATTAATCGAATTAGTAAATTTCGAATAACAAATAATTAAAAAAGGAAAACAGATATCAAATCAATCAGAGATGAGAAAAATAAAGATAAAGTCTCTTTTCTCATCATTTTGGTAATTTATACAAATGACTGACTTTCAAGACTCTACACGAGAAGTTTTATTGTGTGTCTCACATAACTTACATTAGTTGTGTGAGGCTCCTTTTTGTCTCACAAATTTGTGGACTCCAATCTTACACTTCTGGGTTCATAAAAATCTGGATCCACAAAACTGTGAGACAAAAAAAATGCCTCATACAACTAATGTCAGTTGTATGAGACACAAAATAAAATTTTCCTACATCTCCATCTATGCTATAGATTGCAGATGTAAATCTGCTTCTGTCCTTATTAGCTGTCAACAACAAGAATTTATTGGTTATCTTTGGCCAGCCAATTCTTGGCTTACATATAGCTAGATTCAGGGGCGGAGGTAGCCAATAAATATGTTAAGAAATTCATTAAATATATTTAAAAAATTAAATTAGAATACGGTTACTAATATTTGATGTTAATGTTTTAAAATTAAGAATTCGTAAAGTTCAAATCCTGGTTTTCCTTCCGACTAAATTGCCAATAATATCAAGATAGTAATACCCTAGGTTGTTGGTTAATTTCAGCTATGTATACGATGTTTTGTCATACGCTACTTAAACTACTATGTGAGTTGATTAGTTATGGGTATTTATTGTTGCTTCTTAACTCAAACTCAGGAGCTACCTTTAATTTGGAGATGACCCGACTATATTCGGATTCGCGCCGCATAGGGTCTCATTCGGGAGAAAGCGCTCCCTATCAAAGATTTTTTCATACTCAGGATTCGAATCTGAGATCTCTAGTTAAGGGAAGAGCAATTAATCCCGTCCGTTGAACCACATCCTTTGGTGGTTGTTCTACTGAGACTCTAGTAGGAGGTATAGCAGTAGTTTCAAACTGAGATTGACTTTGAGTTAGAGTTGCTAGACTAGTGCTCTTCTTCTTCCTCATTCATATCACCATAATCTCCAATCGTGCTTCAAGTGCTAAACTAAGGGGTAGGGGTGTTCGTCGGTCGGTTGGGTACGGTATTTAAACATTTCGGTTCGGTATTTTCGGTATTTTTGGTATTCGGTTTCTTAAAATGCTATACCAATTTCGTACCTAATTAAATTCGGTATGGTTCGATTTTTCTCCTTTCGGTTTCGGTTTATTCGGTTCGGTAACTTCGGTTTATTCGGTTTGAATACTAACTAGTGCATAGAGTCATAGATGTTAATATTCTTGATTATTGTACTCGAAAGTACAAAACTAAAAACGTTTTTTGACAAAAGTTTTGTCCAAAACCAGCAAATACCAACCCTGAGAGAGAAAATTGTACATAAAAGAATAAATTTGATCATTAGAAATATCTTGTTACTTGCTTAGAGTTAATTGATGAACTTAGAGAATAAAGGAAAGTAATATAATATATTTTTCGGTGCGGTATCGGTATTTATGTTATAACTAATAATATGTGTATTGTGTAATATAATATATTTTTCGCTACGGTATCGGTATTTCGGTATTTTATTTTAAAATACCAAATACCATACCTAATAACAATTTTTTTAAAAACTTAAACCAAATACCATACCGAATACCATAATATCGAATACCAAATACCAAAATTTTCGATTTCGGTACGGTAATTCGGTATTTACCAAATTATGCACAGCCCTACTAAGGGGCAAAGCTATGTAGTTGACCGTCCGTTGCCGAAAAATTATACTCCATCCGTTTCAATTTATATGAATTTATTTCCCTTTTTGTCTGCGCCAAAAAGAATGACCAATTTCCATATTTTGAAACGATTTACCTTCATGCAACAACTTATAGCCACACAAAATACATGTGCCTCATTTTTACATCACAAATTCAAAAGTCTTCTACTTTTTCTTAAACTCTGTGTCATGTCAAATAGGTTCACATAAACTGAAACGGGGAAAGTACTATGTATAAGGTAAATATCAGTACTTGTTATTGATTAAAAAATAGACTTTAAACACTCTTGCATAACCCACTGGCAAAGGGTGTTCAAAATTTAAACACCCTTTTTGAATTTCCTAGTTTCGCCATTTGACTAAATAATTTAGTGTTTCCTCATTATTAACATATCATAATATAAACGTATTTCACCTACATGAGTGTAATCATCTACAGAATTATTAAACTACCACTTTTGTTTTTTTTTTCTTATCCTTATTACCAACACCTAGTTTTCTCAATATTCTATGAGCCATTAATTTATTATGCAACCACGTGACGTCTCCATTAATTGTCGATTGTAAAGATGCTTGTTTACTCCAACGACAGCAAATAAATAAATTGGAGGTTTTTAATAAATTAAGTAAAAACTGTCCATCAGAAGAAAATAATAATAATAATAATAATAATAATCAAAATGAAAATGGATGGGACCTGCATTGCCTTTTTTTTAATTAAGTTAAAAAATTTATTATAAACACTAGCACGTATGTCCCCTAATAATCTTGTCGGTTTTTGTAATATCCTCAAAATTAGCAATATAATCCGCAAAAATATGGTGTATTTCTTCTCTACTTTCAAAAAAGAAAAATATTACTCCCTCCGTTCACTTTTACTGGTCCACTATACACTAATTACTCATTCCCCAAATAATTTCCCAGGACTTTTGAAAATGCTATCATTATACGGAAAGGTAGAGGTAGGCCAGAGAAAGGTGGGGAGAGGTGATTAGGCAAGACATGGTGCAGCTTCAGCTGACCGAGGACGCAACTTCAGCTGACCGAGGACATGACCCTTGATAGGAAGGTATGGATGTCGAGAATTAGGGTAGTAGAGTAGGTAGTGTAGAGTGTTCGTAACATTAGTATTGGCACGCAGTCTCGTTTTCTGTTGGTAGTAGGTTTTTATGACTAACCATTATTTTCTTTCATTGTTGATCACTTTACTGTCTTATTGTGTTATTCTGCGTTTATATAACTTTTTGATACTGTCCCTTCTTGCCTATATTTTCATTAATGTGGTGCTTATACTATCCTGAGCCGAGGGTCTATTGGAAACAGTCTCTCTATCCTCACAAGATAGGGGTAAGGTCTGCGTACATACTAGCCTCCCTAGAGCCCACGGTATGGGATAATACTGGGTATCTTGAATTAAAGCCCCTCTGCTCCTTCAAAAAGTTTCATTTTATTTCCTTCTTCTCCATATTAACAATATTCCAAGTCTTAATTTTGCATCCATTATTTTCACAATCTGATTCTTGACTGATGGCTTATACTTCTGTAATTTCTCTTCTTCAGACTGTTGAGCAACTTCAGCAGAGAAATCCAAAACTCATTCAAGGTCAAACTGTTGAAATGCTCTATTCTCTTCATACTACTGCTGAATATTTTAAAAATATTCTTGAAAAAGTTAGCAAGAGTAGGTTTAATCTTGAAAATATCAAATCTTTAGAGGAAAAAATAAGAGTTGCTGTTAATGATACAGAAGATGTTGTTGAGCTGAAAATTTGTCAAATCTTTGAAGGCTTAAGCTGGACAGGTGGAAAAGCACGTAAAAGTTTACTGCACAAGGATTTGTCACCAGTTGTTGAAAAAATGGATATAACAAAGAAAGAAGTAATGGATCTTTTTTCTGATTTTAGCACAAGTACTTATGATGCTGGTGATGAAATTCTTGAATCTGGGGATTCATTGGTCGACAACAACAACAACAATAACAAACCCAGTGTAATCCCACAAAGTAGGATTTCGGGGGTAAAGTGTACGCAGACCTTACTCCTACCTTGTGAAGGTAAAGAGGCTGTTTCCGATCGACCCCCGGCTCAAGATGTGGATCCATTGGTTGACAGTTCCTCTAGAAGTAATCCAATGATAAATTCGGAAGATGTTATCGCGCAGGGTCTTGATGATGACTTGGAGATCATAGTTAAAAGATTGACAGGACCAGAGTCGGATTTGGATATTGTCACAATATCTGGTATGGGTGGTATTGGCAAAACAACACTCGCTAAAAAAGCTCATGATCATCTCCCAATCAGGTATCATTTTGACATTCGTGTTTGGGTTACAAGATCTCAAGAATTTCGAAGTAGAAATGTGTTGTTAGATGCTTTACAATGCATTTCAAAGCAGACAAATATTGTCAAAAGAGAAGATTATGATAAGGAGGATGACAGTTATGATAAGGAGGATGACAGTGAGTTAGCCGATCTGGTGCAGAAAATTCTAAAGGGACGAAGATACCTTGTTGTTGTTGATGATATTTGGTGTACGGATGTTTGGGATAGTATAAGAGGAATATTTCCGGATTGCAATAATAGGAGTCGGATCTTATTGACTACTAGGGAAACAGAGGTAGCAGTATATGCAAATCCTAGCAGCCCTCATGAGATGAATCTCCTGAATTTAGATAATAGCTGGAAGTTACTTCGTGATAAGGTGTTTGGACCAGAACATGTTCGTCCTCTTGAGTTGGAAGCGATTGGAAAGCAAATAGCGGAGAAATGCCAAGGACTACCCTTAACAATTTCAGTGATTGCGGGACATCTCTCTAAAATAGCCAGGACATTAGAGAGTTGGACGGATGTCGCCCAAACCTTAAGTGAAATCATTGCTAGTCATTCAGATAAATGCTTAGGAGTGCTCGGTTTGAGTTACCACCACTTGCCTAATCACCTCAAACCTTGCTTTCTTTCTATGGGTAGTTTTCCCGAGGATTTCCATGTCGAGACTTGTCAATTAATCCAATTATGGATCGCGGAAGGTTTCATAAGGACGTCTGGAAGTGGTAAAAGCTTGGAGAAAGTGGCAGAAGATTATTTGGAGGATCTTATCAGCAGGAACTTGATAATGGCTAGAAAAAGGAGATTCAATGGCGAGATAAAAGCATGTGGAATACATGATTTACTGCATGAATTCTGTTTGATAGAAGCTGAAATGACAAAGTTTATGCATGTTGCGAGAACTGACCCTATTCGTGTAACACAAAAACATAATGTTCGTCGCTTTAGTTTTCAAACCCCATCTTATTCAGTTTACAACTATTCCAAAGTATTACCCCATGTTTCCAGATCTATCTATTTATTCTCTGGATTAACAGGACTTGAAGTTTTCTCCCGTTTCAACCTTTTGAGGGTATTGCACATCTTCCATGAAGATGAAAGGTTCGATTCATTTCCACTTGCGATTACAAAGTTATTTCATTTGAGATATCTTGCAGTTGGATTTTATGGTAGTGTTCCAACATCAATCTCAGAGCTTCAGAATTTGCAAACTCTAATTACTCATGGGAAAAACTATAGAAATATCACTTTACCAGGGAAGATATGGACGATGACGAACTTGAGGCTTATGCATCTGGGGAGTAACAGTTATTTCCCCAGGCCTAGAAGAAAAGGTATTCCAAATAAGCATAATGTCATAGAGATGCCAAATTTAGAGGAACTATTTGGTCTTTGTTCTACAAGTTGTTCAAATGAAGTCTTTTCTGGCATTCCAAATCTGAAGAAATTAATCATCTATTATGCTTCATTTAGAACAAACAATATGGCCAAACGCTTCATTGATATGTCATGTTTGACAAAACTCGAAGCATTGAAATGTTTGAGGGGAGATTATTCGCCTTACTCAATCAAGAGTTTTCGTTTCCCAGCATCGCTTAAGAGGTTGACTTTAACCGGGTGGTTTGAATTTCCTTGGGAAGACATATCAACTCTTGTCATGTTGCCGTATCTTGAAGAGCTCAAACTTAAACGTTGGGTAGTCGGAGATGAAGTATGGAGATTGAGTAACGAAGAAAAGTTCGAAAACCTGAATTTTTTGTTGTTTTGCCAGTTAGATTTTCGGCGTTGGGAAGCTAGCAGTGATAGCTTCCCTAATCTAAAACGCCTTGTTCTGAACCATTGCCCCCACCTAGAAGAAATTCCAACAGATTTTGGGGAAATTTGTACGTTGGAGTCGATTGAATTGCATAATTGCAGCACATCTGCTGAGGATTCTGCAAGAAATATTGAACAAGAACAAGAGGACATGGGAAATAATTGCCTTAAGGTCTACATCCATAGAACTCAACCTAAGTTTTAGATCTCCAAAAAACATCGGAAACAGTCTCTCTGCCCTTCCAGGGTAGGGGTAAGGCTGCGTACATACTACCCTCTCCAGACCCCACTTGTGGGATTGTACTGGGTTGTTGTTGTTGTTGATTGAGTTGATTTTGTATCTCTTCAACTAGCTGTTTCTCAATCATATTCCCTATCTTGGAAGTAGTATTTGTGATTAAAATTGTCCTCTTTGTGCTCTAGTTGTATAATTCATACTATATTATATTGTGATATTATGCACCCTGGATAAATACTGATCTTGGATCTTGAATACTGATCTTTCTACTTACGTTGAACAACATTCAAACAATAATAGTCTTGTACCTATAACTGGTTATGCCCTTGCCAGGAAGTTGTGGGGGTCGAGTATTAGGGTTGTAGGTTATGAGGTAGTTGAGTCTTTCCCTATCCAATAAAAGCCACAACATTTAATTGTTATGACATAGCTATTATAAACAAGATTACTAAGTAAGATAAATTCCCTAGCTTGTATTCTTCCATCTCCATAATTAAAGTCTTTTCAATCTCCACTTGCAAAAAGACCTATTAGGACTAGGGGTGTTCATTAAAACCCGAAAAACCGAACCAAACCGAAAACCAAACCAAACCGACCAAAAAAAACCGATACTTTTTGGTTTGGTTTGGTTTTGAATTTCAAAAACCGATCAAATTTGGTTTGGTTTTGGCTTTAATCAGAAAAAAACCGAACCAAACCGGCTATAGGAGTAGCTATTTCAAATTTATTATTACACTTATATATATGTATATTGTTATACAAAGTTTTAAAAAATTTATGGTAAATGTTAATAGTTTGCACTTTTAATATAGTTCTTTACCTTTACATTCTAGTTTGATTGGTAGTTTTCTTTTGTTTAGTGTAAGAATCCATTTCGTGTTAAAAATAACATATTTTTAATTGAGTCCTTAAATTATTCATCACTATTTGATTCAATTATCATCAATATATCTTGGTAAATAATAGATTTCTCAAAGGGCAATTGATCTGATAGGATTATATTGAAAATGCGGTCGCCGGAATATGTGTTTGGTAGTGTATGTCTTATATTTAAGAAAAAACCAACAAATAACCGAAAAAACAGAAAAACCGACATAGACCGAATCGAGAAAAACCGACTTAATTGGTTTCGTTTGGTTCTAATATTTGAATAACCGACTTACTTGGTTTGGTTTCTTTTTAGGAAAAAACCGATCCAAACCGAACCATGAACACCCCTATAGGACCACTATACTAGCAACTAGAGTTTGATAAATTGACATCTCTATAATATCTATAAAATTTTTACCTTTAAATATTTTTCGATAGGAAAATTCGGTTAAAGAAAGTACTAAGGAATACGTCAGATCCACCAATTGTAGAAAAAAACCTTAGGAAAGACGTTGCTCGGACTCATTATTATGAAGTACGAGCACAACTGAGGCAACTGTCAGAAATTTATGTGAACTTATAAGTTTAAGAAAAATTAAAAGAAGATTTTTAAATAATTATTTAATTGGACAAATAGTTTAAGATATAGACCTTATATGCCAAACTTTTAAAACAAAGGGGGTATCCAGGGGGTTATATATAGACCTTATCGTAAAGTTCAGGGGGGTATTTGGCTCCGTTTAAAACAAAGGGGGTATCCGGACCAATAGTGTAACGGCAAGGTTGAATATGGGCCAAACTTTTAACGAGAATTATATATAGGCCTTATCGTAAATCCAGGGGGTATCCGGACCAACTCTAAACTTTTAACGAGGGTTAATTTTTTATGATACGCATAGATAACTAACTATTACTTTAATAAATATTAGACAAGTTTTCAATACTTATGTTTTTATAGCATCTTATTTTTTAATGATCATCTGAACTCTACATATGAGCTCTTTTTATTCTTTCGTCATCAAAAAGAAATGGTGTGTCTTAGAATACGCTGATGAATGTGCCTAATTATCCTTGCTGTTCAATTTGATACTGCCTTCAAAATATTAATTGCAAATTTTTTCATTTAAAAGCATCTAAACTATTTAAATTATTTAATTTCCGAAAGTACTAACTAACTCATCCACATTCATGCCACAAAGCTCATCATGAACGATTTTAGCATGTTTTGCTAAGGAAGAGTCCTTTCTCAGAACTCAAACATGAATAAGTGAAAATAAATTTAGTTGCCCAAATATAATTGAACTTTTCTATAATAGTCATCCTTTATAATAATATTTTACTATAACAGTCAAGTTTTTCTTGAAATCGATTTTTCATGTTATGTTATGTTATATATTCTTTATAACAACATTTAGCTATAGCAGCCAGAAATATCTAGACAAACAACACTGTTATATAGAAATTTGTGTTATAAATAGAGTTCTATTTATAGTGAATGTCTATATTTAGAGAGATTCTAGGGTTTATTACTTGGTCGCTAAATCACCATCTCCCTATAAATAGAGGGTTCTATTCCATTGTAATTCATCCCAAATCGATAAGAATTCTCTCCCTCTACTTTTCTCTGCAATACTCCTCTTCTTCTTTTATTGTTTTATAACACGTTATCAGCACGAGACTCTAACCAATTGAGTAGAAGCTTTGAGATTGAGCATAATGATTGTCAATTATTTCATGAACTTCCTTCATGATTAAATTCTAGATTTAAGGTAAGTATTTTACCGTATTTTTCTCTTTTATTCTATACTTTGATTTTAAATACAAGCAAAGACAACAAAGCTTGACTATAACTCTAATGGAGTTTGTAAGAAATTATAACCACCTGAAGCGGTAAAATTTCTATGCCCTGCCTTGATCAAATTCATGTATGATTGTGGGCAAAAAAGTAGAAACCCATCCCATTGAATTTGCTTCATTCTCATTCCCTTAAGAGAATGTGGTAGCAATATGTAATAAGTCTGAAAGAAGACAAAAATTATTACTATGAATGTATCAATGGATATGGACGTGGCAATAGACGAAATTATAATCGTCATCATTTGTGGTAATGAGAACAATAAGGATTCTCAAAATAATCCTTCACTCTGTGAAAATAATATTTGTCATCGATTTGACATGATATTTTATAAAGCACATATAGATGATTATGGTCCATTCATGATGTGAATGCGAAAATATTTGATTTATGAATACATATTCATTCTTGGAAGAATATGAATGTGCTAGTGGTAGTGAATATACCACACTCACCTCTAAAAGAAGGTTTAAGAAGATATAAGAAAACAATGTCATTATTATGGCATGAATGGTCATTGATCATGTACCTATTGTACGCCAAAATATTTTGGTAATGTGATTATTAAAGAATAACAGTAATGCAAGAAACGATCTTGCATATAATTTTGACCATGACTATAATGGTATAACTTTCTCTTTAAAAGAGTTATTCACCATATGATGTTGATGAATATGTGGTAGTACAAAATTAATTGAGAGCTCTGGAAGAGCCAATTATTATTATTTTGGAGGAATAAAATGGATTATCAATAAGGTATTGTGTTGTAGTAAGTCTCAAAGAAACTTATTCAGTTTTCAAAGTATACGCGAAAGCGGTTGATTATATTGAGACTATAAATAAAGGAAAGATTTAATATCTTCTATTACTATAACTTGTAGCGGGATAATATGTATGTGAAAAGCTACCCGCTTTAGTCTCCAATTTGTACTACATAAACAAAAGAATACCACATTGAAGTGGATATTTATTGATATAAAAACCCATATCATAATAAACTTGGAGTTTATTCATAATTGCACACATCATGGTGTAAACCTGAAGTTTATCAATATTGATAATTTATCCAGCTGGCATAATTGGTTTAGCCATGTTAATTCAAGTATGATGTGAAAAAATAAAAGAGAATTCACATGGGTAAATATTAAAGAACTAGAAAGTTCTTTACGAATTCTCTTACATTGCTTGTTCTCATTAATTAATAGACCAATTAAAATTGGGATTGGATCCCATGAATGCTGGAAATATCAAAGGTGAATATGGGCCCATTCACCTGCCATGTATACCACATAAGATGCATCTATGAGATGGTTACATGTGCGATTATTATTAACCCGCAACATGGTGTTTGCGAGGTAACTTGCTCAATAATTTAATTTAGAGCATATTCCAGATTTTCTATTTAAGAAGTTCATCTTGATAAGTTGGTCTACATCACAGCTGGTTTAGCAAAATGATTTATTGAGTGCCTCCACTTAATAGCTAAACAATTGCTTATGAGAACAAAGTTTTGTATATCAGTTTGATATACATTATATACGAAAGTATATTATTTTCTCCCCTCACAAGTGGTTCATGGTCAGGACCAAATAATTCCATCTTATTATTATTGATGTGCGGTGTATATTTTGATTAACACCATAACGCACAAAGATGAGTTCTCAAAGTTGAGTAAACAAGTTAGTTTTTTCTAACATGAGGGGGAGACAAGATACAACAGTTGAGAAAAAGATACATGGAATGAATTATCATTTATTCATCTAGATCCCTGAATAAAATAATATGAACTTGAAGTTCATAAAAGGATAATTCATGTGCAATTTATTGCAAAGCATGCCAGACGCATTTGCTGACCCAAAGAAAGTAACTATATTCTCACTGCAAATGCTCCTATTATAATAAGTCCTAGAAGGACAAAGTCTATGGTACGCTTAAAGCGTATAGACATATCGGTTTCAAATAAACTTCTTGATAAAGAAGGTGAGCAAATGATCAAAATGATCATAATAAAGGAGGCAAGTGATCTAGAAGATCACATGACATAACACTTCATAAAATCTCATGAAAGACTCAGGTACCTGAACATATGAATGAAGAGATCTCTATGTTATGTCTTTATGAAAAATAAGGAGGTTGGAACCGATATAAAATGTTTGTCGATGACATCTATAATAGCGCTAAATATATATGAGGATCTTAAGTCAAGAGAAACAATTCAAGTAGAATTGATTTCATATGAAAGACATGTTGTTTTGGACCTACAGTTCAAACACTTGAAAGTATAAAGTCAATGATATGTGCAATCAGTTTTGGATATCTTATTTGTCTAGCATGACATGAAAACTTGATATGCATCTAACTAAAGTCTATTATATGGCTTATTTGACTATACTTGTATGACAATCCCCAAATGATTTAAATTGCTTGAAGCATATACAATTCTTGATCTTGAAGTACCACTTCCTAAGTGCAATTTATGCACATATATATCTTGCTATAACTATAAGCATGATAATGTGATAGCGAGAATTTTCAAAGGTGTTCATCGGAGTTAATATCGGTGATTTATTCACCAAATCTCTACCGATGTTAACCTTCAAGAAGCTAGTGTACAAGATTGGAATGCGAAGGCTCAAAGATGTAAATTGATGCTCTCATCAGGGGGAGTTAATACGCGTTGTACTCTTTTTTTCCTTACAAGGTTTTGTCCCACTGGGTTTTCCTTGCAAGGTTTTTAACGAGGCAACCAAAAGGCGTATTATTAGATATGTGTATTCTTTTTCCTTTTCTAGAATTTTTTTCTCATTGGGTTTTATTTTAGTTAAGGTTTTCACGAGGCACATTATCTGTTGAATAGACATTCAAGGGGGAGTGTTATAAATAGAGTTCTATTTATGGTGAATGTCTATATTTAGAGAGATTCTAGGGTTTATTACTTGGTGGCTAAGTCACCATCTCCCTATAAATAGAGGGTTCTATTACATTATAATTCATCCCAAATCAATAAGAATTCTCTCCCTCTACTTTTCTCTACAATACTCTTCTTCTTTTATTGTTTTATAAAAGATTGTAATATATTCGTTCTTCTTTGAGATAGAGACAATACGATTAAAATGGAAAGCCAACACACATTGAATTAGGGCACGGCGTTTGGACCATCAGGCAACTTGCAATAGGGACCCTCACCATATTGGAAAAAATAACCTTCATAAATAATGTGATAATTAAAACTATATATACTGACCTCATATTGTGGTTTTGCTCTTTAATTGTTTCCGATAGCCGAGAGTCTATAAAAAGTAGATCCACTTGTAAAATTACACTGAATTTGGTAAAAATAGCACGAGCTAGCCAGTTCTTAAATTGATAATAATTGAAAAATAGCCCGTGTTTGCAAAGTCATTGAAAAATAGCTACTATTTGCCGCAGCACGAAAATTTCCAGCATAATATATTGGAGATTGGTGCACCTGTGTATGAACTTCCAGCATATTATACTGGAATTCCAGCATAATATACTGGAGATTGGAGTACCTGTGTATGAACTTCCAGCATATTATGATGGACCAGTATATTATACTGGAACTCCAATATATTATGCTGGAATATTTTCCGAATTTTGAACAGTGTTTTCACTCAGAATTGTCTTTACATAAAAAGTGGCTAAATTTCGATTACTTTTGAAATTGTGGCTATTTTTCAATTACCACTTATAAATCTGGCTATTTTTGAATTTCTCCGCTGAATTTGTTGTTGATGTTGTTTGTTAATTGTCTCATATTTTGTAGTGTAATAAATATACCTCAATCCCCAATAAAAAAGGTCCTCTGAATTTAAAGATGTCACAATTTCAACTAATTTGATGTGTAAGTCAATAAAAGAACCTAACGCAAAGAAAAAAACTTTATACTAAGATTATCCAATAAAAAGAATGAGATGATTAAAACACCTAATTTAATCCATCAATAGTCAATTCCAATTTCCAATCACGTCATGGAAAATAATCAAACATTTTCTACTTACCATCCTATAGAAATTGTTGCACAAATTTACTTAAAAAATTGGAGAAAAAATAATTAAAAAAATAAAGACACATAATAGGTCCCCTAGCACCAAACCACTCCCCTAACAAACAATTTTTTGCACAAATAAATGTCCGGTTTTCGTTGTCTTGTCTTCTTTTTTTCCTATTTTGTTTTTAAGGTGTAATACCAGAAGGTGAAGTTCTTGATACCTGAGGAGGTGTTTGGCTATCGGAACCTTTCGATGGATCATCGGAAGATTGTCGGAGACCATAGTCAGTGTCACCTCTATTCATTTCGTCAATCATCCTTACAACTTCTGGCATGGCGGGTCGCTGGTCTGGTACGATTGAAACACATGCCATTCCGATCTGAAGTAGTTGTACCATCTCTTCTTCTACATTATGGTACCTCATTAGCTCGACATCAAACACCTCGGCTGTCCATTCTTCCCTAACGACGCTTTGGACCCATCTCGGCAAATCAATGCCTTCTTCACCTAGTGAAGCTTGATTTGGTGATTTCCCCGTTAAGAGCTCTAATATCAACACTCCGAAGCTATATACGTCGGATTTAAATGTGACCTTTCGGGTTTCCACAACCTCGGGTGCACGGTAGCCAGCAACACGATGATTGAGTGGTGTCGAGTTGGAGAATAGTGGGTTCAATCCATAGTCTGAGACACAAGCATCTTGGTTGTCTTGTCGGAGAAGAACGTTGGAAGCCTTTATGTTTCCATGAGCAATGTTTCCTGAAACATGGAGGTACGCGAGGCCCCGTGCTGCACTTGACACTATTCTCATTCGACTATCCCAGTCTAATGGTGTTCGGCCTGATCCTCTGCTACCTGCAAGTATTTACCAAATTAAATATTTCAGTTCCGGGAAGGGAAAAAAAAAAGAATGCACGACAATGATAACCAATATAAATCATAAAACTTCATGAATTGAAAGACAATAGAGTGAAGTTTTACATTAGCAACAACAACAAACCCAGTGTAATCCACAAGTGCACAAGTGGGGTCTCGGTAAGGTAATGTGTACGCAGACCTTACCCCTACCTTGTGAAGATAAAGAAGTTTTACTTCGCAAACGAAAAAGAAAAGAATAACTGTCTAAACAGCGATTGCGGTACCTAAAAGTCTTGAAAAAACGTGATCTTAAGAATATCTAAAAATGGTCAGAGGTTATCACACCCTATTTTACGGATGATCTCATCCTTATGGCTAAAGCGGATATGAAAAACTGTGAAACTATCCTATAGACTGTTGACATTTTTAGCCAATTATCGGGGCAAATAATCAATATAGCCAAGTCTAAGATGATCCTGTCTAATAACACACCTATTCGTGCTAAGGAGGAAATTTCTAATTATCTTGGTATCGTGTCCTCATATAACTTTGGGTTATAAAAACAAAACCTAAAAAAGCAGATTATCAATTTAAATCAGGATACTGCTCTCAACAAGTTAAAATACTTGGCTTTTATGTCAAGATAGACTCCCTACAAATCATCTCTTATACGAATGAACTATACTAACCTCTAATGTGTGCTATATGTTATAAAGAAAAGGAAGATACTGCACACATTTACTTTCGTTGTGAAATAGCAACTAAATTTTGCAATTCTATTCTTAACTATTCTGACTTGCAGCATCTGGCAGACAGAACTTCTATTGGGGACGTTAAAATTTGGATCAAAGATAGGTGTGTAACTTAAACTAGCAGTACACAATCCTATATACCATGGCATAGACACACTCCCATCTTCTTTTGGGGCAAGAAATAGCAAGGTATTCAGAAACAAAATGGAACCAGTTAACCTTAAAAATTTACATGCAAAAGCAGCTGAATTTTTCTACTTAAATGACTGCAATCATCCAAAAGGTAACAACAGAGCTGTAAGGAAAATTAAATGGAATCCCCCAACCGCACTAAACTATATGCTGAAATCTCGCAGTTCCTTTAAGATAAACTCTAGTACAGGTGGGATTAAGTTGCGGACTACTTAGCTAAAATGCAATTTAATCAAGCTACCGAAGAACTTTTGCTGCTTAGAACCCCACCCCTGATGTACACAGTCTTCATAATTCTGATATATGTCATACGAAGGGCTCAGTTTCCTCTAGGAATACACCACTGGACATCACTTAGGTTCTATGTTTTTGGTAAAGCCATTATGCCATATCACTTAGGTTCTATGTTTTTGGTAAAGCCATTATGCCATACACAAATGGTTAACTATCTTTAATAAAATTATCATCTTTTGAAGCCAAAAAAAAAAAAAACACGGTCCTCATGTGTCTAAAGTGAAAATCGCGCATCCAAAATGATCATATTTTCAGTGAAAAGCTTATTTTATGGAAAATTGAATCTTTGTCATGGCTGTAACCTATCAAACCTCAAATATAGAGTGGTCAAGAACAAGTAGCAAGTTCCAAAAATCTAGCAAGGATTTTGCACCGCATTCACCTCCAAAAAGATAAGGTTAAAGACTTGGAAAACCATAAAATTCTAGTGCATAAAATTTTTAGAGCTAAATCTCCAAAAACAAAGTAACCAAATCAAGAAAACATAACCATTCAAGAAAAGAGCTAATTGAGGAATGAACGAGGAAGCGAATATAGAGAAGCATATATAAATACATACCATGAAGAAGAGCAGATAAACTTCCAGCAGGCATGTAATCAGAGACCAACAATTTCTCATCTTTTGAGTAGTAAAAAGCTCTGAGCGGGAGCACATTTTCATGCTTCATATTTCCCAAAACCTCCATTTGTTGTTCAAACTCCTTCCTCGTCGCCACCACATCTTTAAGCCTCTTCACTACCACTGTAGTACCAACCTCAAGAACCGCCTTGTAACTCGTTCCTACACTTCCTTTCCCTAATACCTCCGCAGATGCCCTCAACAAATCCTCCAAATCAAATGTACTATACATTCCACCATCGACGAACACTAGCTTCTTATTCCTTTCTCCTTCCATTACATCATATTCCTTCGACGACGATGTCCCTGCTTCTCCTCCAGCCACAGCTGTAGCAGTTGTTGCCACTGGCTTTGCCTTTGGTTCTTTTACTCTCTTCTTACTTTTTCTCAAACAAATATAAAGTATTAGCAACAATATGAGAAGCAAAACTACTGAACCGATTGATATTCCTACAATGGCTGCTGTAGAGAGCTTTTTCGATTTCTTAACTGATGGAATCAATACTGGTGATGGCGATGACGATGGTGATAGGAAAAATGGGGTACAAGGCAGCAATGGAACGCCACATAAATCAACATTACCAGTAAAAGATGAAGCTGGGAATTTCGACAAACTACTCGGAATTGACCCATTGAGATGATTATTTGCTACATTAAAATCAACAAGACCATTGTTAGACAAACTAATACTCGGAAGAGTACCATTAAAACCATTATTTTGCAAAAAAAGTCCAGTTAAACGGGTAAGATTGTTAATGGAAAACGGAATAGGTCCAGTAAAATTATTCGACGATATGTCGAGCCGAGTTAACCGAGTCAGCCGGGTCAAACTCGGTGGGAATTCACCGGAAAACCGGTTATCCTGAAGATAAAGACTACGTAAAAACTTGAGATTTGAAAACACATCAGAAGGAATTGAACCGGTGAGTCGGTTAGACCGGAGACTCAAAACTCGGAGTTGACTCAACCGGCCGAGTGTGTTGACTGGAATTTGACCTACTAGTCCAACACCAGGAAGCCGGAGAGAATATACAAACGATTGGGTCGGGTCGCATTCGACGCCGACCCAATTGCAAACTGAAGTTGAAGAATTCCATTGAAGACGATTTTCGTGTGGAGTTTGAGAGAGAAAAGCAAGGAGAGCTTGCTTTTCTTGAGTTGGCTCCGAGTTAACTCGAGAATAACTCAGTAGTGTAAATATTGCTAACAAAAAAACAGGGATTGAAAACTCAGCCATTGTAGGTGAATGAAGATAATGGGTTTTGTTAAAGTGGTGAAAAGTTTGGAGAAATTTTGGTGGTGGAAGAAGCCATGGAAGTAGCTGAAGTTTTTTAGAGAGAGAAAAGGACAGTCCTTAGCTAAAATTTAGAGAGAGAAAAAGCATAGTCCCTAAGGAAGTAGAAGAAGGACGATTTATTTTTGTACCACTATTGATTTTTACCCCAATAATTAAAGTATTGAAAAAAAAGTCTAAAATTTAAAAGTACTTGCAATAGAATTTTAAAGCATGCTAAAAAAAAATTATTTGGGAAAATTTTAAAGCAGAAATTGTTTGTTATAAATCATGACGGATTACCAATTTTTTTTAGCATTATGACTAAAATTTAGAGAGGAAAGAACACCCATAGAATAGGAAAAAGGGTGATTTGCACAAATATAATATTTGTGTATCATTATTAATTTTTCGATCCCAATAATAGATGTTTTGGATAAAAGTCTAAAATTTTAAAGCACTTTCGACAGAATTTTAAAGTCAAATAGCATGCGCTAGCAAATCTTCGGACGGGTAATTAAAAAATAGCCAGCATTTACAAAGTCATTGAAAAATAGCCACTATTTTACTGTAACATGGAAAGTTCTAGTATAATATACTGGAGATTGGAGCACCTGTGTATGAACTTCCAGCATATTATGTTGGAAATCCATCACACAGAAAGTTCCAGCATAATATACTGGAGATTGGAGCACATGTGTATGAACTTCCAACATATTATGTTGGAGCACCAGCACATTATGAAATTCCAGCATGTTATGCTGGAAATTCACATGTAAAAAATTCGAACTCCAGCATATTATGCTGGAATATTTTCCGAAGTTTGAACAGTGTTTTATTCAGATTTATCTTTTACATGAAAAATGGCAAAATTTTAATTATTTTTAAAATTGTGGCTATTTTTTAATTACCATTTGTAAATTTAACTATTTTTTAATTTCTCCTAATTTAAAAAAGTTTTTTTTAATATAAATCATGAGGAAGGAATTTTTTTAGTACTATAACTAAAATATAGAGAGAGAGAAAAACACAATCCTTGGGAGAAAGAAGAATGTATGTTTAGAGAGAGAAAAGCAAAGTCCTAAGGAGATGGAAGTGGAAGAATGTTATAATTAAAGGGACAGTTCACGAGAAAAAAGAGAGAGAAAAATAAGGGTAGAAAAAGGAAAAGAATTTTTTACTTTTGTTAGTTCTGTCGGCAAATTTTTCTTTGTTACAAGGAATTATTATCTTTCGATATATTCCATGGACTCAATTCTTTCTCTTCCTCAACTTTTGCTACAGTCCACAAACCACCACCAGCTAGTTGTGCATAGTATGAAGTTGAGATTTTATTCGTTTTAAGTTATTAAATTGAGTTAATTTTATCCATGGTTATTGAACTTTTGTGTTTGTTAATCAAAAGTCATTTTTTTTTTGTTACGTAAAAATTATTCAATTTTGTGTTCATTAAACAAAAGTCATTTTTCTTTTTTTTGTTACACAAAAATCATTTTACTTTGCTTTAGTTATCACAAAAGTCACATTTTTAGTTGAAAAGTCTATTATGCCCTTGATATTATAAACCTTCATATTTATGTAATACCTTCTATATTATATACTATATAATATATTTTTAACTATGTATTTTATTTATTATTTTTGTAATATATTCGTATATTTAATTTTTTTAACGTTAATTTTTAGCGTTATTAAATTTGTCAGTAACTTTAATATATATTAATAGAGAAATAAATCGGCAAGTACATTTCCGTGAGAAAATTCGCAGGTAAAAAAACAAAGAAAATGAGGACAAAATCATATGTTAATCTGAAGGAAAATCCCTAGGTACTACATGCGAATTTAGCTGGGGATATTTTCTTGGGGATTTACCAGGGCAATTGACTATTTGGGAAATTACACTACTAGAAATTCGGGAAAAACTGTCCAAAAAAATCGACCAAAGTTGTTCCGTAATGGCCAATAACCGTCCAAAACGCGACCATTAACGTGCGTTCGGTATTTTGAAGGTCGGAAGGGCATACCAACCAACTTTGGTCGGTCAATTGAATTAAAAAAAAAAAAGAATTATTGAAAAAAAGTTATTTTATAACGCTACTAATATATCTTGTAAATTAAAGTTAAGAAAAAATTAAATATACGAATATATTATAAAAATAATAATAAAATAATATTAAGTTATTTTATTTATAAATAAAATACATAGTTAAAAATATATTATATAGTATATAATATAGAAGGTATCACATAAATATGAAGGTTTATATAATATCAAGGGCATAATAGACTTTTCAAGTAAAAAATATGACTTTTGTGATAGCTAGAGCAAAGTAAAATAATTTTTGTGTAATAAAAAAAAAAGTGACTTTTGTGTAATGAAACAAGTTGAATGATTTTTACATAACAAAAAAAAAGAAAAATAATTTTTTGATAATAGATACAAAAGTTCAATGACCATGGATAAAATTATCTCATTATGTTTTATACAGGTTGCCATCTCTTGTTTAGAAGACAGAAAAGTGCTACTTTAATGTATATATCTTGGCAAATTTAACTAGATCAATTTATTTAACGTTACGACTTACGACTTTTCCTTTTCATATATATTTTCGTTTTAATATTTTTTATTTGTTTTGCAAATTTAAAATTTAAACAGTAATTACCAAAAGCTGTAGGGAGAACATATGGCAAACTATCAGGTAATATCTGCTTTGGCAACAGACAAAGGCAGCTATATATATATATATATATATATATATATATATATACTAAATTTATGTCTATTATCTCCGAGTANTATCAAGGGCATAATAGACTTTTGAAGTAAAAATGTGATTTTTGTGATAACTAGAGCAAAGTAAAATGATTTTTGTGTAACAAAAGAAAGAAAAGTGGCATTTGTGTAATGAACATAAGTTGAATGATTTTTATGTAACAAAAAAAAAAAGTGACTTTGGGATAACAAACACAAAAGTTCAATGACCATGGATAAAATTATCTCTTATTAAATTTAAATAAATAATATATATGTTTAACAAACTTTAAGATAAATATAAAGTCTGGATAAAAATTATTGTGTTCAGCTCCTATAATTGAAGTGTTAGCTTCGCCTCTGATCGTGTGCTAGTTTAAATTCTTTTTTTCATAAATCAAGCTCCTAAAACTTTTTTTTTAAAGAGTGACCGTGAAACTTGAACTGACGATCTATATATTATTGACTGTATAATAATCTTATTCAATAAAAATACTCTTTTATTTGTAAATTATATATTTAATAGTTCTCTGTCCGTTTCACTTCATATGTCGAAAAATTCTTTAGTTCATTTCAAAAAGAATAATACTTTTCTTATTTTAGTAACAATTTAACTTTAAAAAGAAAAAAAATTCACTTTGTATGACATATTTAACCAAATATGGGAACTATCAAAATTTAGACAAAAGAACAAAATAGAAATCATAAAAGGAAAGAAAATTCTCTAATTATAATCAACTTCTAAACTTATATAATTTTGTTAAAAATGTAGCTCAAAGTAACAGATAAAACAAGAAAATAAGAAATAGAATAAAAGATGAAGAGATAACTTTCTTATTTCATCAAGTGTGCAAGTGTTTTTCAAGTATTTTGTAAGTGTGTGCAATATCACTTCTCATCCTCTATTTATAGTACTACATGGAGGTATACAAAAGAATGTCATAAATATGACATCAAACATTTGAGATCATGGAGGAAGATCATAGGGAGGTTACGGAGGTCTGAGAGTTACAACTATAACTCCATAAATATTGGAGTAGTGGGAGTTATGGAGATAATGGAAAAGACTAGTGGGTTGTCACGACCCGGATTTCCTACCCTCGGGAGTCGTGATGGCGCCTACTCGTAGAAGCTAGGCAAGCCACGGTCTTAGAAATCATTAACTCTTTTTGTTTTTAATTCCCTTTTAACCAATTAAATTTACCGGAAATACACAAATAAATTACAACGAAATATGAAATTTAGCGGAAGTCTTAAATAAAATATAAAACCAAAATATCCTGAAGACTAACACATGCCTCTAACCAGAATCTGGTGTCACAACATCCACGGACTGTCTAGGATTACAACAAATAAGTGTTTGAAAGAAAAGAACATAGTCTGTCTCGAGTACAAATGACAACAAAACATAAAAACTAAAAGAAGAGACGCCGGGCCTGCGAACGCTAGCAGGGCTACCTCGGAGTCTTGGACTGAAGAATAACTCCCAATCTACTGTTGATGACCAAATGCCACTCCAGGACCTGGATCTGTGCAAAAGAGCACAGAGTGTAGTATCAGCACAACCAACCCCATGTGCTGGTAAGTGCCTAGCCTAACCCCGGCGAAGTAGTGACGAGGCTAGACCAGACTACTACATAAACCTGTGCAATTATATAATATACAGCGGAAACAAAGCAGAAATAAACAAGTAAGGATGGGAGGGGGAAACATGTTGTGGGGAGATAACAGTTCCGAATAAAGCATCACGTAAAGAAAGGAACAACATAACTACAATGTCAACAAGAAGCAGAAATCAAATAAGTACACGGCATCACCCTTCGTGCTTTTACTCTCGTCCTCACCAAGCAATAATATAATGAAAACGTGCACGGCATCACCCTTCGTGCTTTTACTCTCTTTCCTCACCAAAGCAATTAGAATAATAAAATGTGCACGGCATCACCCTTCGTGCTTTTACTCTCTTTCCTCACATATAATCAATAAAATCGGCACGGAATGGTACATCGTGCGGCACGACATCACCCTTCGTGCTTTACACTCTTTTCTCACAATAGCAAACAATGCACAACATCACCCTTCGTGCATAACACTCTTCCTCACCCAAACAACAATCACAAACAAGGCAAGGGAAATAAACAAGAACATATAGGAATCCCGGCAAGGGAGAAACAGTTAAATCCCGGCAAGGGAACAATAATTAAATAATTAAATTCCGGCAAGGGAACATTTCAATAACTCTTTCTCTATCTTTCAGTTTTACTTCATAACTCGCTTTACCACTTGAGCCAATGCTCCAAAGGGTTCAATCATCTCATATACTTTCACAATTCATAATATATCTCGAGCCAATGCTCCAAGATGTTCAAAGGTCTCAATTCCTTCCACAA